CCCGTCGAATGGTCACTCGGCACAGTCACGCATCTCGAGAAGTGGTGGTCCCCTGCGCAAGAGCTACTCGGGCGTCTACTATAAAAGGAGTTCCGGACCTGCTGGCGGACGTCGTGACACGACCCCACGCCTTGCCTCGGATGACGGTGGTGAGTCGAGCGAACGCGATTCTGTAAAGAATGACGGATATCAGACGGTACGCGCTAGAAATCGACAACGTCATAAGTGAATGACGTCACTTTCTGGATTTTAGTCCTGTAGTGAATAGAATTCGATAGCAGTAACGAAGTAGCACTATTTAGTTGCACTATGAAATTGTTTTTGCGTTCTTTCCTTCTTTCATAACCAGTCTCACCAAGTAATTGCCCATTTTGTTACTTTTTTATCTTATACATTTATTTGTCTCATGAGATGTAATATCTGTTTGTTTACTCCAACATGCAACTAATGCAGGCAGTGATGGCCATCAAAAAACAAAAGTTAATTCTAAATCGCCTCGGGACCATCTTGACGATTCGCATGGTTGCATGTGTAAATATATATCACATTGACATCGTTATACTGGTTAGCCGAAAAGGTACCATAATTACTGGGATTTTCATATGGTGTATACTGGTATTCTTTATGATGAGGTTAATGTTTTTACAAGGAAATTCAGAATTTGCGTCTAAAAATTTTTTACGGTAGGCATTTACTCGTGTAATTACACCATATGATAATTCTAAGTTGTTCTGCGTCAAGAAGATCATATAACGAAGCCATATACGCCTTTCATTTGCTTATTTACTCTCCTGAAAAGTTATTAGTTGTTATAGACTGTTCTGATATGTTACCAGTTTTATTGATTTATCGATTTTATCGAGTGCTTTGCTTTCAACGGCTAGATTACTACATCATAGCCTCCTCTAAGTGATTTTCCAATGTGTGCCTAGCTATAATTGTACTCACCATATATTATTTAATGACAATGGGCTCTGTAGCTTGTAGTTGGTGTATTTGTGCGTGCGTGTCTATTCCGATATTGCGGACACAAATCTTTTGTTGACGTCACAGGACGCATTGGTATCGGCACAGACACGCGCTAGCACAATTCTTAATCATTACTAACCCATTTTAGTTCATTTAGTTTCTTATTTTTCGCTTTTTCATCGTATTTGTATTAGAAAACGCACTTATATATGTTTGTACATATACGTGCTGGTTTTCTTCAATAAGTAATTTGTAACTTTTTACCTGCTGCTAACCCAAGAAATTTTCCTAATTTTATACAGCACTGTTTGCAAGATTCTACTCTATAATGCGTGTTCTCTCTGTTTTTTTTACCCCGTCCTTTTCCCAGTTACCGGTTTGTGC